ATTTAAAGCTGGATCCGCCCCTGTTTGATTATTCACTCTTCAATATATTCTTAAGACGAGATTATAATGGTATTAATTTTGATTATAAATGTGCCATGCTCGGGAAATAAATAATAATAAGCCTGTAATAAAATTTACAAGGCGTACTTAAAGAAATATATGCTAATAGTGCAGGCTCTAAAATAAAAGTGAAATCAAGGTCCTATCGTATAACAATGGATCAGATAAAATTGACTTTTCAACTCCATCTTTTGATTTCATATCTATCTCTTAATAATCTCAACAATCAGAAGCCAAGATTGTTAACATCGTTAGGATTAACAAAATACTTTCGACTTTAGGTGATTATTTAATCAACCTTAAATGAAACTTGGAGTTTGAGTAGTTGTACACAATCAAATAGAGCAACTTAGTTGACCGTCATTGCTTGAGGGTGACTGGTAACATTACAATATCATTTGAATGCATGGAAACATTCGTATATATTCGTTATAATTCACTAACTGCGCTCTATTAATTGAAAAACCAGCTTGTTTTATGAGTGTCACGCACACTTATTGTAAAGGTGCGTCCACATTGCTCTAAATGGCACGAATACTGCAAGCTCGTAAAACATCGCGACACAGTCTACAAAGGTTATCTTGGAACCTCATAACGAATGAAAGTTGGTCAACGATGCCACTTTAATCCTGGAAAGAATGCCGACCATTCTATCCACTTTCATTGACGAAGGCTGACAAAAACACGTCTTAGTGCGGTTTCCACATAAGAAGTGGTCAAGATCGCGGGAATTTCACTGCGTTTGAACTTGCTCAAATGCTTGGAATACGTTAAAAATATTACTCAAGATGCTGGATATCCGGAAATCAAATTGTATTTATTGCAAAATTCTAAACAGATGCCAAAAGCAACTTTTAACCAATTTAATAAACTTAAAAAATCAGGAAAATATAAAACAGTAGAACACTAAAGAAAAGACCAGCCTACACGGTAATTAATAAAATTAATTTGTATTGTATCGATGGACAAAAGGAAGCCAGTAAAAAAATAATTTGATTTGAAACGTTTCTAGTAAAACATTTTACATAAAATTCACGGTTTTATCTGTTGCAGCTGTATATGTTCTTTTTGTTTTAAACCAAACAACCTAAACTTTTTGTTTTTTTTTGGACAGTCTGTATAAGTTTACATTAGTATTAAATGCCTTCAAGGGACCTTTAAGTGATAAGATTGTGGAGCAGTTCCAGACATTTCAAATTGTCACCCACCTTCACATTTGCCCTCGTATAAGACAAAGCAATGCTGTTTTTCATACAACCTTTAATACTCTACTCTCAACAAATTTCCTTTTTCAATGTAAGTATATGTAGGGCTTACCATTAAACAAAGAACACAACTGTGATTTAAAAGTAATTTTCTTTAGTCGACTGAAACTGGTGAGCTTTAAATGGCGGTCTCCGTAACAAATATTTTATCCCAGATTTAATTTGGCAGCGCTGTTACATTTGGAGGAATGGGATTGGGCTCTCCTTATGCATAGTTAAGTGTCCTTGGTTTTAATTCATCTACTAGCCTACGCCCATACAATTTAACATGGGAAACTAAACTTATAGAACCTTGATCCTTCAAGCAGAAATTTAATTAACACACTAATGATAATGTTTTGGTCTTGTTTGGGTGAGTTTAATTTTGCACACGAGAATCAAGCACATTTTAATGGTGACCGAAATAATAGGGATGGTTCATTTCAGCCAGTCTGTGATGCTTAGTAAAATAAAAAAAAACGGGTTTTCAGTAAATATTAAGTTTTGTTTCATCTAACCAGGCCGAATATTTCATGCTATCGTGAAACTCTAATTGTTTAATTTGAAAACTACTTACATGAGATTCTACATTGGAACGTAGATAAGTGCATGGTGTGCATTCTATATATGATAAACCATTCTGAAGAGAGGTGCACTCACAGTCTGTGCAGTCTCGGGGAACAGCTGAATAAGCCAATCGTTTGGCAAAAACTTCAGCAAACTTCTTAGCATTCTTATCAGCTTCCAAGTATTTTGAACTGAACACCGTACCTGAAAATGAACAATTCCTAGAGAACTTACGGGTTAGGTGCACATTTGGCAATAAATTACAAGATGAACATTCTGATCGATTAAGGTGAAATCTTAATCTTGGCATAACACATTCAGTTATTGTTGGTGGAATGGAGACAACAATTTAGTAAATCATGACTTGTCAATTATAGCGCTGTTCCAGTTAACAATGACAATCGAGTTAGCCGGCTTAGTGATCATAGGTCACATAGCTCTGTTAATCAAGACCCTATTTGATTGCGACAATCAATAAGCACTCGGTATTTGTCTTTATTGCATTGCAGGTAGAGAATATGGGACAGTGCAAACTTACTTTGCAAGTGCGATTAAACACACGCTTTCATGAAGTTCACGGCAGATCGCACACCTCTTAAGATAGAACTGATTCAGAAATAATAAAAGAGACGTTTTCAGGGATTGAAGTTCAAGATGGGGTCTTTTAACAAATCGCCTAATCGTGATATTTAAATGTAATTTCTGTATAAAGTCATTAATTCAAAAATTTTACTGTTTGAAGAAATGAGAATGCGGGTCCTTGTCATCTAGGAATTATAAAAATAGTTTTAGCGAGTAATTTGAAGGTTCAGAGATTATCTCTAGTTAATATTATGGATATAGTCTATAGCCCAACGTTAAACAATTGTTAAAGTTACTGATTACAAATTATGATCTGAATTTTTCATCTTTCTTGATTTTACTGAGATAAGTCAGTTAACAGAGCAACTCGGACGAAGCTGAACATTAAATTAACAGCCCATTTTGTAGATGTATAATTTCAATTCATTTATCCGATCTTTTTGTTATGGCAAATAAAACATACATGAATCACAACTAAAACTATTTCGACCATGGCATCTAAAGTATCTTTTTGCATGTCTATAGCTTTTCACATGTATTTGCTTTGAACTTACCGAACCCCAGAATTGGATAAATCTCTCAAATCATAATAATTCGCAAGATATTGACAATTATATTCGAGTAAGATTCATCTAAAGTGTGTGAGAAAAATAGACGAAACTATGAATAGTTACTTTAATGATTGTTTAAAATATGCTTTTTGATTGAAAAACGCAAACTACGATTCATTAATTTGTTGAACGAAAAATACTCAAATAATTCATAATAATAATATCACACTGAATCTAAATAAAATCAATGATTTGACAACAAATTTCGGAAATACCTATTGTCGGCAAACCAATTTACCTTTACCTACACCAGCCAGCGTAAAAATGCTACCACATCGCGGACACGCAAAAGATAATATCTGGTCATCTTCAATATTTCATATATTTTTCTTTTTTCACAGATTTGCATGTTTTTTATGGTCTTGTGTATTTATTTATAGAACTTCCTTTTTAGTTTAATTGCCTCCAGCTTCCGAATTGGTTTGTTTTTGTTGTCTGAATACTTTATAAATTTTTGAATAGAAAAACATTAATAAAGTATTCAGATCACTCGCAGCAAGAGTAGCAAAAATACGGAAAACCCCAAAGAGACCAAAAAGATCAGATTAACTAACATCAAAATGCTTAAAAGTCAATAAACTCTGAAAAGATGATACATGACAGTCGAAATAATTTTACGGAACCTTTTATTCGAGGACGTGCTTCTTGAATAGCTGCGGGAATACAAACTGAAAACGTATCGACATACAATTTTGCTTTTGAAAATATGTAATTAATCGCCATAAATCACAACAAAAATATTGATTCGCAAGAGTAATGAATGAAAACTGTGCAGTTGATTTTTTATAAATTTGTTTCCCCAACGGTATATACGATTTTATTTCAATCTGCTCGAACTAAATGAAATGTTGAGGACTTCGCTTCTTTCCACCGGCAAGCAAAGAATGTAAACGCATGTAATCCAGCTATACAAAAAAATTAATCAACGTTCCGCTCACCGTTTGTTTCCAAGGCGAGAGAAAAACATCCCAACGATGATTTGGAAAAGCTGATTGAATTCCTTAATACTTGATCCCCGTCTAGCTTCTTTACATCCTTTTTGGTGTACGCCTTGTTAATATCAATGCCTGAAAATACATATTGACGTAAAAATAAGGAAGGAAATCGCAGTTTATATTTAGTTACCGTATGGAATCCTGTTTTCCTTCTTCTTCATGTCTGGAGAATTGACGGTAAAGGAATTGTTCAACAAAATATGCAATGAAGCTGAACTTTCAAACAGAACTTGATGGACCGTTGCGTAATCATGCTGGAAACATTCAATTTATATAAACAGTTTTATTAAAGCCTATGTTTATTTTGATTCAAGCTTCAGCAAAAGCGAACAAGAAATTTAAGCAGAGAAACTTCTTTTATCATAAAATCTGATGTCATATACAGGGTATTACTCAATATAATAATTCCAAATTTATGATGTGACCAAATTTTGAAAGTTTTCCTGCTGTAAGTTTGTTTGACGTCTTAAACGTCACGCTGCAATTTGTTGAAGCTAAAGCAATTATAATTTAATACAAATAATATCCAAAACTTGTCCTTACTCCACAGTTTACATCAAAAAATTAATTTTGTAAATATTATTTATCTTACAAATTTCGCCAGTTATTTTTATGTTTTTTTACATTACCTCTTTAAATGCGGAATGCAACAAAGTATAGATAATTTCTAATTAAAAAAGACGTTTCAAAAATGGTCATAAAGACGTTCCCCAAAAACCGGTTTATTGGACTCATTATTAATCTTGTTGTTAGTAATTTAAAATGAGATTTGCTTAAATTTAACGCTTTAAAGGAAATACTAACTCAAAAAATGCGTTCACCTGATTTGCTGGAAGAGGTTCTAGGTGTGTTTTGTTGTATTGGAAATGTTATCGGGTTTAATGAAAACCGCAGATACTATGCAAATATTTTCAATGTAAATTATTTCAACCGAATAGGCGAAACTGGTTCACTTCGTTCCCAACGACATGATTTGAGCGTCGACAAACTGCTACACCGGGGCAAGAAATAAATTTGATTTGTCTATTAGGAAACCCGCAAAAATGACTAAGAAAAATGACTCCAGGTACTGGAATAAGCAAATCATCAATTCGCAATGAGTATCTAGGCTAATTTATGTTTATTATACAGTAGTTTCTTAACGAAAGCTAATGTTACTTTGACGCGGAACCCGCTTTTTCTCGTCGAAACACAGTTTTGGATTTTTCAGAATTTAGATTTAACAATAGAGCATGTAAAATATTTTTAAATTAACAATTAAAATTAAACATATTTGTATTGATGTTTCTAGTTACAAGTTGTGAATCATCCGAATATTAATATCGCTAAGCGTCTGACTCTAATCTTTTAGATTTTCGATACCAATTTATCCACCTAAAACCTCCTGCTTATAATAAGGAATCAGGTACTGTAAGTTATGTAGTTGTTAATGAATCATCTGTATTTTTGCCTCTATCATAACAAACCTTGTGGTAGAAAATGTATTTTAACCTAAGTACTAGCTTAAATATTTTTTGCAACTAGCTATATTTAGGTTTAGTATTATCCCCCTTTCATCAAACATCATAAGAAATTAATGTTAAATTAAACATATTACGCACAACCTCGGCTGGGTTAACAATTTACATTTTTTTATTGGAAAATCCCATATTTTTTACATGAATTGTGAAAATTGCACCTAAGTTATGTACCGTTTGCAGATTAATTTTGACTTTTCCGAAAATTTCAAAGTTATTTTAAAATTGTAAAGAAAGCCCTGTAACCCTGTGAAGAAAATGATTCCAATTTTGAATCAATCTGTGGAGTCGGAACTGGTTGTATCAATAACATAATACAATACGTTCTGCTTGTGTTGAAATAAATACATCGTTATTTTATTTCAATGCCCTTTTCGCTATTATAATCTAGTAGACGTGAATTACAAGCCTTAAGTAGCTTTTAATCTGATACGTGCAAAAATAATAGTAACGACATAAATTTTCAAGTGAAAAAAGGAAATCGTTCGCTATTACCAAGTGTAAAAAGAGAAATGAAACAAGAATTGCATTTTCCTTAATGCCACATCGTAAATAAAAAATCGTCAACATCCACACAACCAAGATTGTGAGTATGTAATACACTGTTTTTCTCATATAAGACTGTTTTGTGTTTCAGTGAGTCAAAGAAGCATCTTTTGTGCCTTTTCAGGTAACTCTTAGCTACAAACCCTCTCATTTAATTATTGATTCAAAAGCAAGACGTGCTAAGGGTTTTTATGCTTGGATTTTTCTACGAACACCAAGTTGTCTTGTAGATACTGCTTAAGGCAACTCATTAACAGAGCTGAGTTCTTATATTAAAGCAAAACCATTGAGGAAGTGTGCAAATTCCTAAAGCAATTCCCTGACAAATTTCTCATTTTGTTTGGTATTTCTGTCCTCAATTACGCCTGTCTGATGCACACAAAGTATAGGAATGACGGGTTTTCGAGTGTTCTCTTACTTGCACCACTGACCGGATTCTCTTGCTTATAAGGAAGAATCCAATTCTAATTAACAAATAATTTTATTTAAAGTTATACTTTTGTGTTTCAGACATGTTCAAAGTAAAATTATATTTTTATCATGACCATAGTAATCATCAAATGGCTTAGTTTCATATAGCAATGAACATTTTCTGTTAAATCAATAGTTGTACGGATTTATTATCATCTTTCTCCATATTCAATCATTATCTTCGCGTTAAACTTCCGCCTAACCCATTAAATGTGTGGTGGAATTTTTATTGATTAGAATAAAATTTTATAATTTCACACAGCAATTAACGGAGGTTTGACTCCAAATATAACCAAGATGGGTCCATTTTTAAGTACTACGGAAGTAGAAATCAACTAGAGCAAAAATGCGAAAAAAATGGATTTAGCGAGAATTTGCGGTCATGTTCCTTGGTTTGGCCAATTTAATCAATCACCATAATCAATTGCTCACCCTAATACACTGAATGATATTTTGCCCAAGGGAAAATTCCGAATTCTAATTTATTCATACGCAAGTCAACCTCTAAAAAAGCTAAATAATGGCTTTTCACGAATTCCCGAGTTTCCCCTTGAAATGAAATGGCTTAATCCATGCGTATCAAACAGGTTTTTATTCGTAGAACTGTTTCTTTTCCTTTTAAATGTATCGGTTTATTTCGGGCTTTTGTACGGCTAGTTGGATGAAGGCTTAAGATGTTCGTGTTTACCATCCTTTAGAGTTCTGGCTATGAGGAAAATCAATACGTCTTTACTGGAGTAAATCCAACCAAATTAGAGATTCGCGAAACTAACACCGAGAAATTCGAGCTTGGGTTATATATATTGTCTCGCTTTGTACCTGAAATTGCAAATAACGTTTAAACACATGAAACAATTAAATAGATTCAGACCAAGAAGTCTCCACTGAGAATATTTCCCCCTATAGTATAACAATGCAACAAACAATTAAACCATGCAGTGAAATAATATCAGAACCAATACAGATTAATTAAACTAAGCAAGATTTACAATCCTCATAATTATATGTGTACATGATCTTTACCTGCATATTATCTTCGTCACATTGGGAGCATGGCAGTAATACGAGATTTCTTGATGCTCCTGGCCTAAACATCAATTTATTTGCAAATATAATAGCTCTGTATATATCAGAATTTCCATTCCCTGGAAACCAAATAGATATGGTTGGCAACAGATTTAATTAAAAGTTAAAATATGTGTACAGTTAATTGACGAATTAATTGGTATTATTGTTATTCTCATTATGTCCTTGTTTTCTTTTTTGGTACAATAGCTTATTGCAGTATTTGATCGCAACTAGAGTAAAATAGCAATTATGATACGCTAGGACTAAATATTGAAATTTTTTTCTTGCCTTGTTAGCACTAGGTGAACATAATTAAATTAAATTACGACCGCATATAATTATAGTTGTAATAATATTATAATTCAATTAAATTTAATATAATGCCGTTAACGGAATGTGTGAGCTATAATAATTTCGATTTGTTATCTTAAGAGAGTACAGCTTATTTCAAGTGAATATACAATCTGTTGATAAGTTCTATATTGTTGAGGCGGATTCATTTTGTTACAAACTTCTTTTTGGGTTTTTCGCCTCAAAAATGTTTGTCTTTAAAAAAGACAGAATTTCCTCACGTCTTTTATTACAGATTGATAAATAGTGCTCCTGTTTCGCAATAAGAACGAATTATTTATCAAAAAGTAATCAAGAACTATCACCTAGAGGGTCTCCTGCGACACACTTAGGCTCAAGCTGTAAGAGAAAATTCCAATTAGTAGAGAAATTAATTTGAAAAATTACCTTGACGTTTCGATAGCTATTTTCTGCTATCGCTATCAAAAGAACCTAAATGAACCTAAAAAAGAGTATGTTAATAAATTGTGTAACAATAGTAGGATAATACAATATATGAAAATTCGCTCTGATAAT